CGCTAGGTGGCTTATGCAGGTCTTTCCCAGCACGGCTTCCCTGCTCGCAGCGGCTCTTGCTCAGAGCCCTCCCTCCTGGGGCGTCTGCGCCACGTGTAAGCCTCTCACCCAGGCCCGCGAGCCTCGTCTGGGGGCCGGGAGGCGGAGGGTGAACGTTTCCAGCCTCTCTGTGTCCGTCTCGCTGGTGGTACGGAGCCGGGCGCTAGGAGGGGGCAGCGGGACGCGTCTGGGCCTGGAACGCGGCAGTTCTTCACAGCCGCCCCTCGAGGCGTCTGCCAGCTGGTCCCTCAAACAACCCCTGCTTTCGGGGCTTGTTACCCGCCCTGTTTAAACCTGGTTCCAGCTGACACCGCGCCAGCAGCTGCCCTGTCAGGCCATTGTGGGTCAGAGGGACACTTGCTTTGGGCAATCATTTTTTATGGGGGGGGGCCACTCCAAGAATTTGGAAAGTGGTCGGGGGCCGCGCTCTTCCATGACGTTGTTGGAGGAGGGGCAGGGTCTGGGAGGGAGGTTGGGTGCGGAAGGGAGTTGGGGTGAAGGAGGCAGCTGGGACCTGGGGCACTGGTCTGGGGTGGAGAGGGGGTGGGTTGTGAGCTAGGCCAGGAGGGGACTGTGATCTGGAGCATGGGTTTGGGGTGCCGGTATGTGGAGTGGGGGGCAGAAGGTTGGGGAAGGGAGGGGCTGGGGTGCCAGAGGCAGGCTCTGCCAGGAGACTTACCAGCCACCAGCCATTCCTGAATCAATCAGTCAGCCGGCCAGCCTGCCTGCTCCCGCCCGCCCCCGCAGCCCTCTGCTCTGGAGCCCCTTGTGCTTCGTGGCTGCCTGTTATTGAAGCAGGCAGCTCCCATTGGCCAGCTTCTGGCCAGAAACCGGCCAATGGGATTGTGCTGGGGGTGAGAGCAGCTCCTAACCTTCCTTCCTCCCCCTCCGGATTCACCGTTTTTAAAGAAAAACCGCCCTGCAGCCGTGTTTCTGAGCGGCGTATGGGTGGGGTGAGGCAAGAGGGGAGCCTGCCTGGGACTCCCTGCAGCATCAGGGGGCTGGATCCAGTGACTTGACTGGCCGGATCCGTTTGCCCAGGCCTGTGCAATGACTTGTTACTGTTTCCTGTGTGTGTGCCGTGTCCCTCCCCCGAATCACCAGACTTCCTGCAGAAAACCTCTTCTGATCTCCGTTAGTTTAAAAAAAGAGAGAGGAGGGTTGAGAGGCCGATCAGAGGGCATGACCTTCCCCGTCTCCACCTCTCTGCTCTTTTTAGCTTGTGTTATAGGTCATCTGCCTTCCTGGTGCCCGCTTCTTCCCCGGGTGGCTTTCCTTCACGTCTGGTTCTCCCCCAGCGTCAGACTTCCTGCAGAAAACCTCTTCTGATCTCCGTTAGTTTAAAAAAAGAGAGAGGAGGGTTGAGAGGCCGATCAGAGGGCATGACCTTCCCCGTCTCCACCTCTCTGCTCTTTTTAGCTTGTGTTATAGGTCATCTGCCTTCCTGGTGCCCGCTTCTTCCCCGGGTGGCTTTCCTTCACGTCTGGTTCTCCCCCAGCGTCAGACACGCCGTGTGCAGTCCTGAGACATTCCTCACGGATGTCTGCCGGGCCTCGGGGCAGGCCGTGACTCAGCCGGCTTTGAGCGATGCTTCAGGATTTCTCCCAGAGCTGTTGTCCTAGGGCAAGGGCTCCAGGATGCTTCGACCTCCCTCAAAGCTTCCCGGGTTGGCGGAGAAGCCCCGAAGCCGAGCACCCGAGACGGGAGCGGAGACTCTTCACTGCCTTTTAGTGCCGCTCTCGCAGCAGCCACCTTGTGGGTCTGTTGGGCTGGCGAAGGTGCCGCCTTCCAGGGTTAAAAAAAATCCACCTCTTCTCCTCCGCATTTGCCCCCCTCCCTGTTTCCAAGCACTTGCCTATTCAATCTCTCCCCCCCCAGGTCCCGATGTGGCCGGGCCCCTTCAGATGGCTCCCTCGAGTTCTGATGGGCTGTAACTTTTGAGTTGCGAGCTTGTGACTTGTGCAAAGAGCAGGAAGGAAGGAGGCAGGGGCTGAGATCTGGGGAACCGGGGCTGCAGCATGTGGCTCTGAGACCCTCCGACTCTACAGAGATAAGGGCTGTTTAAATCGCTAGACGAACACAGGCTGAACTTCTTGAGTCCGGCATCCTCAGGATCGGACCGGTGCCGGCCCAGAGCATTTGCCAAGCCTCAGCAGGCCGGTGTTGCCTAGCCGCATTACCAACACTGCCACGGCTTGCTGGGCTCTTAGAGACATTTGGGGGGAATTAGAGCGAAGTAACAGCACAGAACACTGCGCGCCAGGCCTGGGGGCTGTAAACAGACTTTCTGGGACCACGGGGAGCTTGGCCACGCCGTGATACGTGGACACCCGGCGGACTAACATCACGCCGGACCACGGAGGTTGCCGGATCAGAGTGCCAGACTAGAGAGGTTCAGCCTGTACCTTTGCGAGTGGGGGAGGGGAAACCAGCAAGAAACGCAGTGGATCTTGGGGGTCCCGAAAGCAATACCAGGGAGCCCCACGCCCGTCCGATCTGTGACGCATCGCACTCCCATCCCAGCCTCCTGCTTTAGCAAAGGGCAGGACACGTCACCACCCTACGTGCTCCTCCCTGCCCTGCCCCGCCCCACCCTCTCTAGGGCCCCTGTGCTCTCCCTGCCCCTTTTTGCCCCACCTAGCCAGGCTCTCCTAGGCAGCTGCTGCGCTACAGGGGCAGAGTCCCAGTGGCTGGAGGCTGCCTTCCTCCCCGTATGGGGGGCAGAAGCTAAAGGGAAGGGTGTGTGTCCATCCCACATGTCTAGTCCCTGCCCACCCACAGCGCAGAGCCCCGGCCCTTCCCCATCCCACGTTACCCCCAGGAGGGAGGGTGCTGCTGCTGAGGCCTTTCTGCCTTTCCCACCTCTGACCCTTTGGGGTGAAGGGCTGCCTGAGCCCGTTGGGGAGCACCAGCTTGGGAGAACTTGGCCAGGGTTAAGCACCTGGGGGCCCTGTGGCCACTGGAGAAGAGCCAGGAAGTATCTGACTATTCCCTGGCGTTCTCCTCTTCTCCCCTCCACCTGCCACGCGAGCGACTCGCTGCCTTGCGGTCATGTGACCAGAGCGAGCGTCCAGCTGTGCTCCGCATTCCGTCCCGGAATTGGGGTCTCTCCAGCCCCGGCCACTGAGTTCTGCTCATCTTTCAACCGGAGGTTCGGTGTCCTCGATGCACTAGGCCAACGCTGGTTCCCGTAAGGGGACGTCTGGACGTGGAGGGGAAATTCTGAAGCCCTGAGGCTGGAGGAATGTTGGGGCTGTTTGACTGGTGCTAGTTGGACCAGTTCCATTTGCTGCTGTCCTTCCAAAGTGTGCAGGTTGGGTTGCCCCCTTTCCGCGTGAGATGCGTGTGGTGGGTGACGAGTTCCTTACAGCCTGATCATGTGGGAAATGGATCAAGCTTAGCTGAAAACGGGATTAGACTCGGAAGATTATCATATAAGCAACTTTTGAAGCAGATTCGGGGCCTGCTTTACCTGCCATGCCTGCTAATTTGGAGTCCAGACACAGAACGACCCTTTGGTTTTATTTAGGTGACGGCATTCTACTGGCTAGGTTAATGCAGCGTTAAAATTGGCAACATACAATTGATGGTTCCCATCATTAATATTTAAACGCTCACAGATACCATTATTTACTCATAAATGTTTATCTATTTCCCCAGTAGAATTGGGAACCTGTTATCTGCTCTTTCCGGTCGCATGTGTAGGAGTCTGCTATTACAAACACCCTCCATGAATCTTTTATATCAGTGCAACATAAATCCCCAGGTAATCACTAGATTGCCGTTTTGAAGCGCAGGAACCGTGTGGCTATTCAGCCCAACTTGAAACATTGGATGTGAAAACTGGGAGGGGCGTTCTGGTGAAGGGGGACAGCGTCACAAAGTACACCGCGGGGGGTGGGGGGGGAATCCCGCCATGCTACTCCTGCCAGCTGGCTCATTCCAGTTTTCCCTGTTGTTAAACACTCCCCTTGGTCGTTGCTCTTGGGTTTCAATGTAAAAATCGGCCGGCCTCATTTTTCGGAGGCGCTGAGAGTCCACAGCTCCCACCGTTGTCACTTCCCACTCCTTACCACACCTGGCTTATCCGTATAGCCCTTCGATGGAAAGAGCCGTCGCAGGAGGTCAGTCTCGTCCCCATTTTGCAGGTGGGGAAACTGAGGCACAGAAAGGAAGTGACTTGCCCAAGGTCAACCAGAAGGATGATAGCAGAGCTAGGAATTTAACCCAATATTTGGAGTCCAACCCAGTGTCCTGCCCATTCCTCCGCCCTGCTTCCCTAGGAACCGGGGAATTGCCAGACTACGAGACCAAACTCCATCTATCCAGGATACCGTCTCCACCAGTGGCTGACGCCAAATGCTCCAAGGCACAGAAACCCCACAGTAAGCCAGTGTAGGAACTTAGCCCCCTGCATTGGTGTGTCTGCATATTCTTGTCTGTCTTTGATCTTGTTAAATACTTGGCCTCACTGACTTCCTGCAGCAATGAGTTCCACTTGTATATCATATGAAACAGTATTTCCTTTTAAGAGTTTTAAATCTGTCATCTTTCACTTTCACTGACTTGTTCTCGTGCTAGGAGACACTGGGTATCTCTGCTTGGGAATAAAAGCCCCTTGACATGGCTGCAGCTGCCCCGGGTCAGCTGACTTGGGCCGGTGGGGCTAAAAACTGCCATGTAGTCAGTCAGACTTGGGCTGGAGTCTGTCCTATAGCTTGGGGTCCAGCCAAAGCCTAAATGTCTTCTCAGCAGTTTTTCAGCCCCCTGAATCATATGAGTTCTAAGTTAGCTGATCCGAAGCCGGATTTTATCCCCGTATAGATATACCCATTAAGAGCAATGGGTGCTCAGAACATTACAAGCCAGGCCATGAGAGGACAGTATAGCCCAGTGGTTAGATGGGTGGGGGGCAGCTTCGGGTTCATGCCCTGCCTCAGACTCCCTGTATGACCTTGAGCATGTCACTTAGTCCCTCTGTGAAACGGGGGAGCAGCACTTCTCTACCGCCCAGGCCTAAGACAGGCAGGGGGGCGGTGCCTCCCCTTCGTTAGTGGGGTAACGGCGCTCGCCAGGAATAGAGACAGAGGGTCTTTAAACTCCAGCCTGGTGTTGACCCGAAGGGGGCTCAATCCCTTGGGCCTATTCCAAAGCCGCAGGTGAATTTGGCCCTTTGTGTCAGTGGACGTGGGACTTGCCTGCTGTCTCCGTTTTCGCCACACGGGCGCTTTTGGGCTTCGCTGGCGCCGGTTCTGGTTCTTTTCCTTTCCGCTGGTTTAGACGCGGCCCCGTCGATGGTGCGGCTGAGGAAATGGCAGTCGGCGCCCCCTCTGGCAGGGCACGGGTATGCCGAGGGCTCGGCCCGAAAGTCCCGCACCCAGGGAATTAGCAAGTCAAAGGACGTGTAAAAAGACAAGTCATGGCAGCTTATCGGGTCGAGGGCAGAGGGGCTTGGGTACGCTCCCTTCCCCTCAGAAGCAGTTCCCTGGCTCCGGCGGAAGCGTTCGCTTTGGTTTTCGTTAGGGGGCGGATTTCGATGCGTTGGCTTAGCAGCGGTTTCTCGGAGTTGCCTGCGCTCAGCGCCAGTCAGGGTGGGGTCCGTGGCGCAGCGGGGGAGCTGTCCGTATGGCGTGCCGGGCGGGGGGAACCTTCCGGAAATTCTCCCTACCTCAGCGAGGGCCGGGAAGGTGACAGCAGCCTTTCCTAGCCAGCCCGTGGCGCTGGTCGAGAGGTGCCCGCCGGGCCGCGTTCCCAACGCCATGGTCGCCACTTTCCCTCGGCGGCGCATGCGGCATCCTGCCCGGCCGGCACTGCCCCCGTGCTCGCTCGCGGGCGGTGATAAGCGCGAGAGAAGTGGGCGCAAGTTCAGCGGAGCCGGCTCCGGGCATTGTGATTTTTCACCATCATTGTTTTTCCCTGTCGAATTTCTGTGGGGCCTGTTGTCCCCCTGGAACCAAACCCCGTCTGGCCCAGGGGGCGAAGGGCTTTGTTTCAAGTTGTGCATCCAGCTGACCCTTTCTCCCGCGGCGCGGCGTCGGGCGGGGCTCACAGAGCCGCCTGGGGAGAAGGGGGAAGGGCTAACACGGCTCCGTGTTTGTGGTGCGCACACGCTGACAGCGGCTCCGCCATGCAAAATGGTTTTTAATTTCCCAGGCGGTCCGCGCCGCCGAGGCTTCTGAATGCGTCTCGCCGGCTGCTCGACAGGCACCAACTGCATTTTTTCTTGCCCCCGCG